CCCCCCTCCGGGAAAAAACCCCCAAAAGAAAATAAAAGAAAAAAACCCATAAGAAAGATGGAATTAATGTATTACCAATGCATGAAAAGAATTAGGACATGGTGAAAGCTTACTGGTTTATATGTCTCCTTCCTTGTGCAGTAATTACAGATACCTTTGGAGTAGATTTACATCTTGCTCTGTGTTTTGAGAATCTTACTTCAGACATTGTCGTGTTGCTTCATCATTGCGTAATAATTATATGACAACAATGAAAAAGTTATTTCAAGCTATTAATCCTATCTGCATATCATTTTGCTACTAATACAGACACATAGCGTCGTCCTGGCAATGCCTATGATCAAGGTTAAATCCCTTCTACCTCTCTAGTTTCTGTACATATTTGCAATTTGAAGCACCTATAAAGCATTCATAGATATGTTCAATCCTGAACTTGCAGACATTTGTTTTAAGAAATTGTTATTTAGAACTTTTTAGGTGATTTAAACTTGCCAAATGAATCATACAGCTACTAAAGAATCCATCTTACTCTATACTTTGTTGCTTTTGTGCTATTACTACCGAGTTTCCTATGATGTGGGAGAGGAAGGATGAACTGACAGAAACACGGTTTAGATTCCTCTTCTTTGTGTTTTTGTGATGTCAATATTTGTAGTTCAAACAATGTTAAAGCCTCCAGCAAGTGTTGCAATCTCCAGAAACTCTTACGAGTTTTAAACTTACAGACTAAGTATGCTAGGACATGGTTCTATCATCTGGAAGTCTTTGTTATAAGGGGACCTCACAATTGGAAGTGCCAGCTGTTCATTTAAATTTTCATTTAAATCTTTGGAAATTGCGATTGTCTTGAAATTGATTCACTACGTGGTGTTAGTGTAAATGAAAATTTCTGACATATTCTAACATGCTATTTTGTGAGCCATTTATTTGTTTGCGATTTTGTGTAAGATGTTGCTGTTATCTGGTTGTCTATTGATAGTTCTGTATTTTGCCGAAGAGGGAGGGAGTCATTGTTTTGACAGTTTTTTCCACGTATTAATTCATTCCTTTTGGAGTATAATGCGTAGCTTGTTCTCCATTCCTCGATGATTGTAAGTTCTGCTTATAATTTTCAACATTTTGAATCAGTCTTAGTCTAAGAAAATTGCTTCTTTTTGCAGGTTCTGCATCTCAACCCCTTCTAAGTGACCAAAAATAAGGACTGGTCAGGCATCATCGTCTCAAGAAACATGGAGAAATGTTAGCAGATACAGGTACTACCTCTATGTGAAATGCAAGCAAAAAATCAAGATTATGAAACAGCCGCTGGAATCAACGGGACTCGCGAGGCCACTTTTTCATCAACATGGCCATTAATCTTTCTTTAATATGCTTTTATTTTGGCGATTTATGGGTGGTTTTGTAGCGCGTTGGAGTTGTTATTGCCCTGAACACAGTCTCTTGGTACATGTCTAAATGAAACAAAGGCATTTCTCTCACGAGGTTTTTCTGTTGCGGTTGTTGCTTGTTATCTGAGATATATGTTCAAGATTTAAGCAGACGTGTCTATTAGTTATACTACAGCTGATATTAGCTTTCTTCTTATTCCATGAAAGGAGACATGTTGATAAAATAAAGTGAGGCTAGACTATGTCTACATTCTATTCTTTTCTGAATGAGTTCCATTTTCAAAAGAAAACTGAGCATTGCATGTAGTTTTGCATAGGGTTCAAGCATTCCAGTAGAAGAAACGTTGTTAATGTATACCACCTCTAGAGTCAACTATTAGAACTCTCAACATCAAATTCAAGATCCTAAGACTTGTAAGTCTGTTGGCTCTCGTGCTAAAAAGGGATGAGAAAATACAATAAGAAATAGCGTAGAGAAGATGCAAGCTGTTCTTAGGCAAGTTTAACTGGCGTAAAACATTTAAGGAGAGACGAGTGATAGTCAAAACAAATACTCTTATAATTAAGAATTTTATATGTCATTCTTAAATGGCGTAAAATTATTAAAGACGATAATATGAATCAAAGGGAGTAAGACTTGCAGGGAGTGTCTGCAGACACGTCCAAACCCCACATTATTGGTGTTGTATTTAGGTTTGAAAAGCTTTTGTTTGGAGAAAAATGCGTATGTAAATTATTTTTCAGAAAATGTTTTTGTAGAATAAAAATACTTGTTTCTAGTTTTCGAAGAAAAAACTTCCTTTAACTTATTTTTTTGAGTCGGGGAAAGTATTCTGATCAGGATGGGGAACGAAGTAATTTTTAAGACAAAGATAGTCAGTTATCAATTTGGAAAAACTTTTCTAATTGTAGCTTGTATAATCCAAATGAGGCCTATTATAATCTAAATTTGATTGGATGAACGGGTTATGGACCTTAAAAGGCGTCTTTTCATAAATATATTATAATATTATCTTATATTATACTTCTTACTTGTTAATGTGCCACCACGTTTATGTCAAAATCAATTCCATTTTGATAAATATGACCAAAGTGGTATGCATTTACAACAGACAAAGGAGTGCTTAACCACAAACTTTGCAAAGTTTTGAGTAGACTGTCCTCTCTCTCTATATATATCCACCTTAAACAAATACCTCAGAACACAAACTTCCTCTAAAACCTTGTACATTCTATTCAAGAACCCTCTCTTGTGCTTCCTGTGAAAGAAGTCAAATTTTTTCACAAGAGAGTCATGGCCACATCATGTGTCATGTCAGTGCTCTCCCTTTCCTTTACATTTCTAGCTCTTTCTGCTGCACAAGAACCCACAATGCCACCTTCTAGCATGGCAGCCCCACCGACAATCGCCATGCCACCTTTTATGTCACCACCAGCACCAGTGGCATTTCCTCCAACAATGAGTCCTGGTCCATCAGTTAGCTCATCACCAGCCCCAGGTGCACCTGATATGGCACCCCTCATGCCTGCCTCTCCTCCTGCACCCATGGGACCGGGGCCTGTGTCATCACCGGCTCCTGCACCTACTCATGCTGTGTTGCCATCAAGTGCTTTTGTGCATGGAAGTAGCATGGCCATGGTAGCACTTATTGGGAGTGCAGCACTCTTCTTCTAACTTGATGCTCATTATCTTTCACATTTGCTGTAGATTGAAAATAATTTACCTGTTTGTGTATTCTTTATTGCATTTTAATATATTTTACAGTGTTGTTTTTCATTATTGTTGTTTCACTTTGTCCTTGATTCTTGAGGATCATTCATGTGTGTGAGTTTAAGGAACAATGAGGTGTCATTTATCAACTTTTATTTGTTACAGCTATCGTGTAACATTTTCACTCAGTTTAATAAAATACATTGTTCTTACATGTCTTTTCAACGCTATTTCTACTTCTTTGAAACTTCAAACAACAACAACAAATCCAGTGTAATCCCACAAGTGGGGTCTGGAGAGGATACTGTGTACGCAGACCTTATCAACTTTTATTTGTTACAGCTATCTTGTAACATTTTCACTCAGCTTAATAAAAGACATTGTTCTTACATGTCTTTTTACCGCTATTTCTGCTGAACTTCAAACAACAATAACAAACCCAGTGTAATTCCACAAGTGGGGGTCTGTAGAGGATAGTGTATACACAGACCTTACCCCTATATTGTGAAGGTTGAGAGGTTGTTTCCGATAGACCCTCGGCCTAAGAAACAGTAAACAAGGAGCAACCAACACTAACAACAACAAGAAAAAAACAAAAGACACTACGTGTAATAACGAAGATCTAAAAATAAGAAATACAAGAAACTTGACTTTCATGTAAATTTCCAAGCAATTACTAGTTCAAAAGCCAAGGTTGACTACAGTATAACATTAGATTCTCCAAATATCAGCCATAATCAAAGTAAAGAGAAAGCGCCTGACTTTCTTTCTGTTTTCCAGCATTCTGGAGCTAAAGTTAAAACGAATTATCGAAACAAATAAACATATGTGCATCGCGGCACTAAGTAAGAGTAGCTTTCTCTTCCTAACATCCTACATACACTTTTGTGGCTTTAAGCTTTAATCCAGATGCAACTTATTTGCATGTGCCAAAAAGCTTTCATACAACAATCAAAAATCAGTTGCAGATCCGCAAAGGCAAAAATAGAAGGTCAGCTTTTCGGTTTCATTGCTTGGGTGATGTAGAAAAAGACCATAAGATATTCCTTTCATTCATCTTATCAAAACAAAGAAAAAGAAAAGAAATTACATTCATCGTCTCCTTTGTTTTCTACGGCACTCAAAACATTCAGTACATGGAAATTTACTTCCATTAGAGTAGCTGGTATGGAGTTTACTGGGCGAGACTTTCAAGTCTTTCACTAGTATCTGGCGAAGCTTTTCATTTTCCTGCATGAGCTCGTCAATCACTTGCTGGTGTTTCAACACCTATCATGCACCAAACATATTTTCAGTACTTCACACGCCATATAAACATAAACCAACAGATAAAAACTTTTTCCCAGCCATTTCAGCAGTTAAACAATTGAATCTTGAATAGATAAATTTATTCAGGAAAAGAAACAAAAGCAGTGATAAACTGAGTTAATACGTTGTAAACCAAAGTGGTATGCATTTACAACAGACAAAGGAGTGCTTAACCACAAATTCATCTGTCTGTTAAATATGACCAAAGTGGTATGCATTTACTTATAACATTATACACTAACCGTTTCCTAGGTTTTAGCAATGTAAGTCAATATTCTATTAAGGACATCGTTAATAAGTGGTCTAATCAATCTTCCTCATATTACAATTTACTTGCAATATTATTTTAAGTTTAAAAAAGGAAAAGGAAAAGAGTTAGCTTCTAAATAAATAGTCAGAGTGAAAACTTACAATATGAAGAAGGTTGTTCTCTGATCTCAAACGTTCCGACTGCAAATACAGAAGTAGAAGAATTAGAACTAATACATGTTAGCAACATCCTATTTCAATTAACAATTATCAATCTCATCCTTAGCACAATATACAACAAGTCTAAAGAGACCTCACAAAATTACGCTTAGTGTATAATGTTATAAGTAATGTGTTTCATCTTCACATACCAGCCCATTTGCTGTACTGCCTTCATCCTTCAAAAGTGGACTCTGCAGAAAATTGCTAAGAACCTTCTCAGTTCGACTGCTATATGATGTATTTGAAGAGCTAACATTAGTTCTTGAAGTTTCATTTTCATGAGAAGAGAGAGAACTTGTGTTTGTATCTGTAAGCAAGCCCACAGAAGAACTATGAGGGACCTTCACTTCAAGTGAATTGACACTTCCCAGTGGATTCTGATTAGAGGCTTCATTGATTGTCCTCATGCCAGCTTGCAAGGACGGTGGAAGAATGCCTTGACCAACAGACAAGCCGGTCGACATTCCAGACTTCATCATTAATTTAGTCATGGCTTGCTGCAGATTGAGAGAAGTTATGTTAAAACCTTTGAAAGTGTGGAGGATGAGGGCAAACTCAGCAGGTAGCGGCAACAACACTATGGAGAGAATACATACAATTAAAAACAACTGAATCTGATCCACTACTCTGCGCTTCACAGCAAGACCTGACATACACCACCAAGATTTTGCTATTTAACAACAGAAATGTTTAGAAGAATCTGCCATAACACGGCTTTATAAAATAAAGTCTTTGTGATTCAGCTATTTCCTTTTTCTTTCTTCCATTATATCATTCCCAGAGTTTGTGGCCGCAATTAGTACCAAGCCTGTGGTTCAAAGATGACACAAGTTTACATTCCAATAAGCCCAATTAGCCTTGACTAAGGTATCTATCACTCAAACAGTTAACTCTACTGTTTCTTGAAACACCCATGGCAACCTGGCCATGATCAACAGATTTAAGTCTTCAACTCAATATCCTCTAAATAAAGAGTGCACATAAAGTGGTTAGCAACATCACTGTATTTTAGCAATTTTCCACTTCAAAATAAATCATCCTCAATGCAACATATAACCTTTAACAAAGAAAGAGTTAAGTCTACATACCAACTCCAAAACCATGTCCAAAACCTACTCCGCATCCAATGCCTGCTTCAATGCCTTTTGCCCCAACCTTCCTCAACTACAGAAAAGACAAAGAAATAAAATCAGAAAAACATCACAAGAACAAATTTGTAAGGTATATTGATCACAATGCTATATGAAGACAATTCAACAAATTAACATACAGAATTATTAACATGTCTTCCAACTCCAGAAAATGCATCCGTTGCGCCTCTAGTGGCAGTCATAACTTGATTTAGCATTGGTATTGCACCTAAAACCAAGGTAAGTTTAGTGATAAAGAGATATCAATCTAAAAGGATAGAGAGTCCTATAATATAGAGTATCTCATATCATAATCCCTTTCATGCTTAGATACTAGGGATCCGATAGTCACAAGAACACAGAAACGCTGAACAGGATTAGATTGTTATTGACACCAATACGATGATGTGACTAGCAAGCTGATAAAACCACACAAACTGCATACAATTTAGATTGCTCAATCACGCATCACATTTATCCATGTATAGCATCGTACAACAGATCAATGACTCGTGTTCGCTACATTGTTCAACTAAAAGCATCAACCCTATTAGAGTAGATTAATTGCTCTTTTCCATGAAAAGGCATCTAAAGGAACATTAACCCCTAGCCTGCAACTTTGTTATCTCTAAATCCCAGCAAACAATCTGATCACTAACAGCCAGAACTTAAGCACGCATATAGTCTGACTAACCAAACGCAACATTACATCAAATAGCACAAAACAGGCAGAAAAAGTATACCAACCATTAGGAACAACTTAAATCTTTCAAATTTATGCTTTTAATTCTAGAGAACACACAAACACATACACACACCCCACATGGACAAACTTAAACCCCAAAAATGAGTTGCTTGAATTAACACATAGACACACCATAGACAAACAATGCAATATTTTTTTTGATAACCATAGTGCCTGGGCAGCTTGTGCACACCTTGACTAATTCCACGGGATACATGTTACCTCCCACCATCACAGGTAGCGCGTCACTGTGTCCACCAATGGTTGGATAGATGGAAGAAATCATCTAGTGTTTTTGCTTCCAGTGGGATTTGAACAAACAATGCAATATTACATTACATCAAATAGCACAAAACATGCAAAAATTGGATATCAACCACTACCAACAACATAAAGATTTAAACTTTACACATTTAAGTCATTAACAAACACACACACACCAAACAAAATTACAACCCCTAAATGAATTACTTGAATTCTTGGGTTCCCGTTCTTTAGGTTTCCAAAAATCTTCAAATTTCATGATTTATTTTTTGGTGAATGAGAAGAAAAGAGAAGGAGTGAAGAGTACCTAGATTTAAAGGGCGACCAACACCAATTCCAATCCCACAACCAATGCCAAAGCCAGTAAATACTTGACCCACCTTCAAAGTAAAAGGATTCTCTATTCTCATCCTTCTTTCTTTATCTGCAGTAACTATCACGCCATTGCTATTACTACTGCTGCTGCTACTTGTACTGTCCGTATCCATTAGCACTGTTTCCTTCCCTTTTCTACAAATTCTCAGTCTTAAGTATGGAACAAACTGTACAAAAGCGCAGTGTTTTGTTCAGCTAGATTCTTCAAATAGTTGCAGACCCGTTAGGCTGCTTTTCTCTGAGAAAGTAGAAAAAAGCATTTTCTTTAAAATTTTGAATTTATGTCAATTTTCTAATTTATAAATATAATCAAATATTGTTGGTTTTTTAAAATCAAATCGAAGAACAGTTATCCTTAAAATAAAGGCAAACTTCCTGAGAAAATAGATACAGTTCTGAATTAAATTTGCACTACCTTAACAACCAAAAAATCAAAATAAACCAGAATTAATAAAGTTTTTTTGTTAATTTATGAATATTTTACCAAATCATTCATATCTCTTATGAAGTAAAAGTCAACTCAAACCAAAAAACAGTTAATACTAAGTGAAGACACTAGTCTCAAAACAAAAACCAAAAAAGGAAAGTTGAAGACGCTATCCAAAAGATCAACATAAATCAGAATTGATAAAGTTTTTTTTTTTTTTTGTTAATTTATTTATATTTCACTAAATCATTTATGTCTCTTATGAAGTAAAAGTCAATTTAAACAAAAAGAATAGCTAATTAATTCTAAGCGAAGACAGCAGTCTGCAAAAACTAAAATAAATGAGGATAAGTCTGCAAAAACTAAAATAAATGAGGATAAGTCTGCAAAAACTAAAATAAATGAGGATAAAGACGCTAGAAGGAGGGCTTGAACCTCCGACCTTGTGGTTAACAGCCACACGCTCTAACCAACTGAGCTATTCCAGCTTCATGTTGTCATTATACAGTACAATCCATTATATTGGAATTTTCTTTAGGTGTGCTCTTACTTTCGTGAAAAACCATTAAATTGCTGATGTTAGTTAAAATACGAAATACTTATTAAGAAATGTAGCACAAAGTAACAACATAAAACAAGAATATAAGTAGAATAAGAGAAGAAAAGATAACTTTCTTATTTCGTCAAGTGTTCAAGTGTATCTCACATCACATTTCATGCCTTTATTTATACTATTACATAGAAGGTTACAAAATGATTGTCTTAAACATGACATTAACAATTGAGATCATGGGGGAAGATCATGGGGAGGGGTTATGGAGGTGTGGGAGTTACAACCATAATAGTGATGAGTAGTGTGAGGTTATTTACATCATGGATGAAAGTAGTGGGAGTAGTGGACATCCACATTTACTAAAGATTTTATAACACTCCCCCTTGGATGTCCAAAAATAGATAATATGCCTCGTTAAAACCTTTCTAAAAAAAATCTTGTGGGAAAAAAATCTTAGTGAAGGAAAAAGAGTATACATATAGGCAATACGCTTTATTTGCTGCCTCGTTAAAAACCTTACCAGAAAAATCCGTGAGACAAAACCTAAGCTAAGGGAAAAAAAGTACAGCGCATATCTTACTCCCCCTCATGAAAACATCACTTTATTTCTCGAAGATGCTGCATTCCAATCTTCAGTCTCAACTTCTCAAATGTTGAGGTTGGTAATGCCTTAGTGAACAGATCAGCAAAATTTTCACATGAACGAATCTGTTGAACATTAATTTCACCATTTTGTTGAAGATCATGCGTGAAAAATAACTTTGGTGAAATGTACTTTGTTATGTTTCCTTTGATGTATCCTCCTTTCAGTTGAGCAATACAAGCAGCATTGTCTTCATATAGTGTAGTTAGATTATCCTTTTTCATAAGAAAACCACACATTTCCTGAATATGTTGAGTCATTGATCTCAACCAAATACATTCCCGACTAGCTTCATGAATGACTATTACCTCAGCATGATTTGAAGATGTGGCAGCTATTGTCTATTTCATTGAACGACATGGTATAGTTGTACCTCCATATGTAAACAAATAACATATTTGAGATTGGGATTTATGTGGATCAGACAAATAACCTACATCGGCATAGCCAATCATTTCTGACTTGAATTCATTAGAATAAAACAATCTCATATCTATAGTTCATAGATGATATCTAACTATATGCTTAACACCGTTCCAATAACTTCTTGTTGGGGAGGAGCTGAATCTTGCTAATAAGTTTACTGCAAAAGCAATATTTGATCGGGTATTGTTGGCAAGATACATCAGTACCTCAATTGCACTAAGATATGGAGTTTCATCGCCAACGAGCTCTTCATCATTTTCTTGAGGCCGAAATGGATCTTTATTTATGTCAAGCGATCTCACAACCATTCGGGTACCCAATGTGTCACGACCCGGATTTTCTACCCTCAGGAGTCATGATGGCGCCTACTCGTGAAAGCTAGGCAAGCCAATTATTAGGGTTCTACACATTTAACATTCAACCCAAACAGATATAAGCCCAAAAATTAAAGTTTAACAGATCATAAATGCGGAAGAGTTATAACATGATCAAATAATCCAATACAATTCTACCCTCAGATTTGGTGTCACAACTTCACGAACATCTATGCGTTACTATAGATACCGGTCTGAAAAGAAAGTACAACTATTCTAAAAAAAAATGAGGCAGTAGAAAGCTAAAATAGGGAAGGGGAACTTCAGGCTCTGCGGACGCCAGCAGATCTACCTTGGTCTCCCTAGACTAAAGGCAGCTACCTCAGCTACTCACCGAGTTCGGTACCGAAATCTGCACAAAATAGTGCAGAGTGTAGTATCAGTACAACCGACCCCATGTACTGAGTAAGTGTCGAGCCTAACCTCGGCGAAGTAGTGACGAGGCTAGTACACGACTATCAAATAAACCTGTGCAATTAAGTCATATACAGACAGAATCATAATAACAGGAAAAAAATAGAATAAAGTGGGAAGGGGACATGCTGCGGGGTATAATAGATTCTAACAATAAACCAGAAAAGAAGCAATAATAACGAAGCATAATGAACATCATATTCAAACCAACAAGATAATGAAACGGTAACACATGCACGGCATCACCCTTCATGATTTTACTCTCGTCCTCACCATATGAAACATCATAAATGGCACGGCATCATCCTTCGTGCATTACCTCACATATTCATGGTACGGCATCACCCTTCGTGCATTAACTCTCATAATATCGGCACGACATCACCTTTCGTGCTTTACACTCTCTCACAATATCATGCACGGCATCACCCTTCGTGCTTTACACTCTCTCACAATATCATGCACGACATCACCCTTCGTATTTTACACTCTTCCTCACCCAAACAATTGAAAACAATATATCCCGGCAAGGGAAATCAACAATATCAACAAAACATCCCGGCAAGGGATTCAGCTATAACCAATCTCGTTTCAATAATTTCTTTACAAAATGAAACTTCAATTTGAATCAATACTCAACAATAGTCAATTACCAAGAAACTTTCATAAGTTTTGTTCAACATTACTAAGCATCAATTGAGCATGATTGGTACATGATAGGTTCACAAAATCATGATACAAGACTCACGGGCATGCTTGACACCAACATATAGATACTCGTCACCATACTTATACGTCGTACTCGATACAAACACATAGCAAATAGACCACAACTCCTATTCCCTCAAGCTAAGGTTAGTCCAAACACTTACCTCGAATCCACAGACATGATTAAGCCTCAAATACTACTTTACCTCTCGATTCCACTTCCAATTAGCTTGTATTTAGTCACAATTTATTTAATAATGTTAATAATTACTAAATAAACCAATTCCAATGCATGAAAATAGATTTCTCATTGTTTTCCCAAAAAGTCAAAAATCGACCCCGGACTCGCTTGGTCCAAACTCAAAATTCGGACCAAAACCCGATTACCCATTCACCCCCGAGACCGGATATACAATTGGTTTTGGAATCCGACCCCAATTTGAGGTCTAAATTCCCAAATTTTGATATTCCTAAGTTCTACCCAAAATTCCCAATTCCACCATGAAAACCCTAGATTCTAGGATGAAATCTTATAAAAAGAAGTTAAGGAGTGAAAGAAATGAGTTTAAAATCACTTACCAGTATTTTGGGGAAGAAAAAGTGTTTGAAAAATCACCGCTTATGTTTTAGGGTTTTGAAAAATGAAAAATGGCTGAAAAGTCTCGTTTATATATACACCTCTCAGATCATCACCGCTGACCGCAGAAAAAGGATCGCGGCCGCGGAGCTCCACCGCGGACCGCGAAATATCGAGCGTGGCCGCTGAAGTTTTGTCTTTCCCACCGCTGACTGTGAAAATCCCACCGCGGCAGTGGAGACCCTAGCACGATCGCGAAAAGTCACCGCGGACCGCAAACCCCAGTTTAGAGACCTGCAACTTCACTGAACCTGCAACGGCTATTTTCTAAGTCTAAATTTACTTCATGGCCTATCCAAAACTCACCCGAACCCTCGGGTCTTCAAACTAATCATGCACTCAAGTCTAAAAATATCATATGTGTGAGCACGTGATTTTTGTTTCACGAGAAAATCGCTCCAAAAGAAATAAAAAAATAAATAACAATTGATCCTGTTGTACAATTTTTGGATTTTTACGTGGCACTTTGTTAATTATTTATGATTTTTGCCCATTTTTACCTTATTAAAACAAAATACAAAAAAATGTCTGTGTCATGCGTAATCTGAACCGTGACACGGTTGTCAAATAAAAAATCATAAATGGGCATTTTGTCCGTGATTTTGCTTTTGCTTGATTTTACCTGTTTTAAAATATTTTAATGTATGTGCAATTAATTGTATTAAGTGTTTATTTAATTTTAATCTGATTTTACTTAGTTTTGTTTTTTTTTAAAAAATAAAGAAGAAAAGAAAATAGTAAAAAAAAAAAAAGCCCTTCCTTTTTCGGACTTGGGCCAATTTGTTAAATTGGCCCAAACAAACAGCCCAAAACCAGGCCTGCCCGGTCCACACCAGCTGATACCCAGGGTGTCCAAACGACGCCGTTTTAATCCAGCCTGATCTGGGCCGTTGATCTCAGATTGATCAACGGCCAAGATCACATTTCCCATACCCACGAACAAAACCCGACCCGTTCCACCCGGACCAACCCAAACCCCCTTTAGTTGAAACGGCACCGTTTCCCCTAAGCCTTTAGATCCAAGCCATTGATTTCAGTTGATCCGACGGTTGAGATCAACCCACCCATTCCATATATAAGCCCTTTACCGTACCCTGCCCCCCCTATCCAACACCCCAGCCTTCGTCCTCACCAAACCTTTCCCCTTCAAACCCTAGCCGCCCCCATCTCCCTTCACCAGAAACCCGGCGGCATGAACGCCGGTGACCTTCACCTTAACACCCTAGGACCACCTTGACACCTTGAACATGGATCCACCAACCGTTCACCTCGAATCCCATCCCACCTTCTCGAATCTTCATTTGAAGATTCGAGTCAAAACTCGATCTACCCCGATCTGCCCTAAATTCATACCAGACACTCCCCAGAACCCCCTCGAGACCAAACCATTCTTGGTTTGGTCCGAATCTGATCAGGGAAGCATGAATCCCAGATCTGATTTTTTTG